AAAAAATTACTCTACTGAATCTGTATTGAATTTTCTTATTAATTAAATTTGAGAAGTTTATTATTATTATTATTATTATTATTATTCTTTCATTATATGTATATATAGCCAGAGACTATGACATCTATCTGAAAACTTTTAATTCTCAGAGTTTTTCTAGTATTTATAAAGCTAACTTTTATACATTTGCCAATTTCAGATATGTAAAATTAGAAAATTTCAGCTCAAAATACAAAAACCTTTTACAAATTACAGTATTTTTCACATTTTCTGATACTTTTAAAATCATTTAAAAAATAGCATGATAAATGAAAAGAAATAAAGTCTTAAAGATAGACATATTAAATGAGTAGATAGATAAATTTAAGTAGTTTAAACAGATACTAATAATGATAAAGAAGTTATAACTGTTCTCTCACTTGATATATCAAAAGTCTTTAATAATATAATAACAGATTAACTCATACATACTTTGAAATTTAAAAAGCTCTCTAAATCTTTGACTGACTGAGTTGTAAGCTTTATAAACAGCTGAACTGCTTCTCTATAATTTGAAAATCAGAAGTTTAAGTCTTTTCAATTACAGATTAATATATTTTAAGAATTATTTATATCTTTAATTCTCTTTCTATTCTACAACTTGGAGCTTATTGAGATATACAATTTCACATTTTACTAAGTTACAAATATTGAATTCATTGAAAATACAAACATTCTTGCATATGAAAAGTCAATAGAAGAGAATATTCATTTATTGAAATATATATATACTTATTACATCAATTGAGCTACGTGACATGAAGTCAGATTTGCTTTAGAGAAGTATGAGCTGATGTACTTCTCTCAGTATATAAAAAAAGTTCAACTTGACTTTATCTCTAAGATTAGAAAATGCAGTTATCTCACTCAGTAAGTCACTTCAGATTCTTGAACTATATATAAATTCTTATCTTAATTGAACACAGTATATCAAAGTCTTAAATGTAAAAATAGTTATATAAATAAATATTTTAATAAAACTTATAAATTCTCTCTGAAGTCTTTCTCTAAAGAAATACTATCTGATATATTATATAATGATTTTATCAGTAATTATATATATTTATCATATATAACATCAATCAATATTATCTGATGATCAATTATGTGACACTGAAACAAGACTGAAAATCACTCAGAAATACTGTCTATTCATTATATTAAATAATTTCGGAACTATATCAATTCATGCTCTGAAAATAAACACTTTCATATTATCTCTAAATCTAAAGATGACAGTATAAACAGTAGTATACAGACTGAAAACTGAAGCTTTAGCATTAAATATTAATTTTCACAATCTCTATATAAAAGCATATTATAATCTCTGCAATTCAACTAGACTTTGTCTCTTATAGAATTAACTAAAATTCTTTATTAAATACTTAAAACAGACTTTTTTAAACTGGTTTCCGAATTGAATTGAGTCTGATATAGAAAATAAGTAGTATATAAAAAACATCAGAATCTGAAAAGTAGTGTAAATATATTGAAATTAGTGATGAGAGTAATAGATATTAAATTTCTCTTAAAATTACAAGTTTTTCTCTGATAAAGATACTCTCAAAATACATATAAATCTGAGTAAAACTCAGAGCTCACTTTTGATGCAAATCTGAACTAAGAAAATATAATTAGTAAACTTTTTATATTATTAAAAGATTTTTGAAATCATCTTATCAGACTGTATATATAAAGCTATATTTTAAATTACAGCTCATATAACTTTATTCTGTTATTAATACAGAGATATTAGATATAAACTTTTTCTGAATAATAATTTTATTATTATTATTATTATTCTTTCATTATACTTGTGAGAGAGATTGAATGTAATTGATTGTTATTATCTAACTAGTAGCTAGTGAAAGCTAAATATATGTGTGTGAGTCACATAAGTTAGAGCTTGTGTAGTAGCTTCAACACCTCTTCATGCTATGCAGATCAGTTAATTCATGCAGTTAAAAGTACTCAAATCATTCAAATCTGTGATAAAAATTAATTACAAAAAGTAGAGTCTAGTTTTCTCATAAGAACTAGCTTTATACATGCAAATACATGTGAATATGTAAGAAAAAAAATGCTCAAATCTGTTCTTTCTATATCTGTATTGTCCCCTCAGTCATCTGAACACCACAGAGTCTCATTTCTCATATTTTTATCATTTTATTGTTATTGTTATCATGGTTATCATATAGGCACACTCAGTGGCCTGATTATCATGAGTTATCATGGTTATCATATAGGCACTCAGTGGCCTGGTTATCGTGAGTTATCATGGTTATCATATAGGCACTCAGTGGCCTGGTTATCATGAATTATCATCTTTATCCTGGGTTATCGTATGAGTATTCAACGGCCTGGGTATTATGATTATCAGTATCATGATTATCATTTTAGTAGGCATGCTCAACAGTGATGTATATAAGTGCTGAGCTTTCATTATTATTCTTTGTTCTATTCTTTCAATTGATAGAACACTTTTCAGAGTGTGTGAACTAGCAGTAAGACTCTTCATGATTATTCTGCTTGCAGTGAGTGCACTTCTTATTATTCTTCTTATTCTTCTTATTCTTCTTAATGATGTCTTTGGCATTCTTTGTGTCATCTCTGGCATTTTTGTCATTCAATAGCAGGCGGAGTAGTATATCTCTGCAGAGATCAAGAAAATCATCTTCTAGTAATGTGATATTATCATTCTTTACTGCATAGTTCATGCAATCTCTGATAAAGATTGATCACTTCTTGATAAGACTGTTGAGAAGCTTGTCAAAGAATATGAAGTTGAGAATATTAGTATATTCAAGATGAATATACTCAACATGAATTGTAAGCAGATATTCTATGAATAAGTGATTGAGGTTATTATAGATAGTAGTTGCACTGATATCATTGAATTTCTTGAATAGACAGACTCTGCAGATTTTCATCTGTTCTGAAAAGAATACTGCTATAGTATTTCATAGAGCAGCAGAACTCAGAGAATCTTGAGACATAGTAAAAAGAGATTTGACTTCAATAGAAACAGAAGACTATATAAAATTGTATAGCTAGAAGTTGCATTTCTTTCAGAATTATTTCATATTCTTAGAGACATTTTTTAAGAATTTTATAGTTGCATTCAGAAGATCTTCTGTGTGAGATTACTTAATAACAAGCAGAATCTCTTTCTTTCAAATGAGATAATCAGATATTGATTTGAGAAGACCTGGTTTTTGAAGATATTTAACATGTTTACAGAATTCTTGAAGAACTCTGCTCAGTGCAGAGATATTCTCTTAATTCTGAAGATAAGCAGTAAGATCAGAGCTTAAATCATTGTCATTATTAATAGTAGCTGTAGCAGTAGAATTGCTAGAAGCTCTTATTTAATATAGTTCTTTATTCATCTGAGTAATACATCATCTCAAGACAGCAGCTTTATTAGTCATATTATTGTTATCTTGATTATTGTTATTATATAGTAATTTTCTCACAGTTATTAAGATTGAAAAGAATTCAGATGCAGTAGTTTAATTCTCTGAGATTTCTTCATAATTAATTGATGTTGTATTGACAGATATTTGATATGAAGTATTTGAATGAAAGAAGCAGCTATTTGAAAAGCTTATTGTATGATTATTGCATGATTATAATACTTCATAGAAGTACAAGAGCTTCATAACCTGTGAGAGAGGTTGAATGTGATTGGTTGTTGTTATCTAACTAGTAGCTAGTGAAAGCTAAATATATGTGTGTGGGTCACGTAGGTTAGGGCTTGTGTAGTAGCTCCAACAATACTCATATGCAAGCGGAGCTTATGATGAGTCCTTGCGTGATGTTAAATACAGGCCAAGTGTTGATTATACAGAAGGTGTTGAGACCACGCCAAGATAACAAGAACATAGGAAATACAAAGAAGTGACAATTAAATACATGTGATAATAACTTCCCATCTCAGGAATATAGAGTGATTTGTTGAAGTGATTTGTACACCTCTGTATTTATTAGGAACCTGAGGTGCTTGAGTTCTGGATTTAATGTATCCCCTGCGGGTTTTGAACTCACACGCCTTGGTTTCCCACACCAAGGTACTACCAGGTGGCCGCATTAACCATTCAGCCACCGGGACTGAATAATAATTTAAATTATAACAGACTATTGAGAACTGCTCAAGAAGTCTGCATTTTAATAAAGTAATAACTTAAATAATATATTGTATCTTAATTTCATATAATAGATAATTTCATTTTGAATATGTAGTTCAAATGCTTCATCTCTAACTGTTATCAGAGATTAAAAGTAATATAGATATAAAGAAATATAAAGAAAAGCCTGTGTATATAATAGTATCACAGCTTTGTATAATCTCTAAGACTCACAGTATATAATTGAATTGAATTGAATTGAATAATATATACATTATTATAAAGAGAATTTTAGTAAAATTTAATTATTAAAATTTTATTAATTATAAATATTGATTTTAAGTTATATATATATATTTCTTTTTTATCTGTCAGTTATTATATTAGATATAGTACTTATTTCTATTATAATAATTAATACTAATTTCATAGTAAGTTTAACTTTAACTCATAGAGTGAATATTAAGTAATGAAAAAATCAAGAAAGAAAAGAGATATATAAGAGAATACTTACTACTAAGTCTCTAGTACACTTATTTCTTGAATATTTCTGTATAAAATTTGATATGAAAAATTATTAACTGATATTTTTAAACTAATAGCTGAGTTGTTATACTAATGATATTGCACCAATTATGCTTCACAGCTAGATGAGGGAATAAAGCCATCTTTCAATGTGAGTCTCGAAATACAGACAATCTTCAATGAGAAGATCTCAATTACTAATACAATCACTATCATTCATATGTGCTCATTGTAACACTAGTATAAAATATGGACCAGTTCCAAAGCCAGAGCCAGAAAAAATCGTGAATCACCTGCATGATTTCTTATGGTAAATGTAACTTTGTTTTTGTTCACATCGTCGGTTTGGAAGAGTTGCCAGATTGGCAGAACATCTATCTTGGATGGCCCTGTATGCTTCTTTCTCGAATCTAGGTTGTTCTGTCCACGCTTAAACCCTCGATCCAGGGCGCGGAAAGGGGCAGATTAAGGTTGTACTGCAAGGGTACGAAGAGGTTGCTCTGTAAACTGTGTGTGTCAGGACAGAAACGGTTTTGATCAAAATGCTACCGTTTGTCGGACCCGCAGAACCAACTCAAAGGGCTGGCTTTCGAAAACCGAGGCAAACGCTGAGCCATCCTTTGGCTTGAACTATGCGGAAAGACCTGAATAATGGAGTGGCGGAGAAAGAATAATTGACCTACATATTTTTTAGAATTACAACCATTCTCATGTACCTGGCCACTTTCAGGCCTGAATTCAACCCGAACGACGTTGTACAGTATAGAAACACCAGACCGAGTGGTTGTTCCAAGATGCCCATACAAGAGATCTATCTGTGACCCTGAAACGTGCTTACCCAGGGTATCTTTTTTATGTTTCCACATTTGTGCTGGCGGTAACCACTAGGGAGGGACAAAGGTCGATCAAGGCTAGTTACTTGAATGGCTGCGAAACCAAGTTTGCTTTTTAGTTTTGCCCCAAGCCCCATCGCCTCATCTCGCGATCTGATATGCTTCCGGCTAGGCGAAGGCTACCAGCCACGGACGGAACTTTCAGCTTTGCCTTCCGCGAAAATTGTTGTTCCCTTTTCGTATCGAGCCTGACTTGCATGAACGTGGGTACCAGATGGCTGTGGGACGCTCCGTCAACTTATATACCCCGCTGAAGGGTCCAGCAACAGAGCTTCTTTTTATGCGTAACTTCAATATCCAGCTACCACCTTGCCGGTCAAGACTTCAGGTGTGTCCTGCTCTGTTCGGATCAATGTAGATAAGCACGCGATCTTATCCCAGAGATCAATTGGAATCCAGGACTCTCCAAACCTTTGGGTTTCTAGCGTTTTCTGTTTCTTGGATTCCTCCTGGTGTTTTTGGTGCGCATCACCATCCGTGTCAACAAATGTCTCTCGAAGAAAGCCAAAGCAGAAGGGATTATAGCTTGATCAAGAAGCTTTGGAGTTCGGCCTCTTCTCCTTTTCGAGTACACCGGTTTATTTTTCGCAATAAGTCCCCCCAGAGGTATTACCGTTCAAAATTGTTTCCATTTCCGTTGAGTAGTCGGCGAATCTACGCTAGGAAAATAGCATCGAAACTAAAAAAAAATCATTTCTCCAGGCCAATCGCAGGACCGTCTCCAGACCCCAGGGATAATAACATGAGTGATCCACGCGCACATTTTGATCCTGCCGCTATGGTGGGTCTGTCAGAGGCCTCCCATCGAGCCGACGATCCTCAATTTGACATATTTGAATGGTATCCGCGTTACCAGAACTGCCAGCGATATTTCCTCGATCATGCCCAATATAGTATTCCCGTTCAGGCGTTGTCCGCTTTCCTGAATATTTATCTCCCTTTCCAGAGACAACCGAATCCACTTTTCAGTTCGTCTTCGAACGTTGCTCCTAGAAGCTCACGACCCTCATCTCCACCGCCCAACCGGCCACAAGTATCTCCCGCTATCTCCCTTGTCCCTTATATTCGACGCCTGGTAGCAACTGGCATGGATTTCCCAGGTGTTCTGCATGGGTTTTTTGGGGACGATTGGGTTGCCGGCGTTGGCCACCTCCACGAACAAGAACGGCGCAACTACCTCTTCGCTGCGAAAAGCGGCGGGTGGGCATCTGTAAAACAAGATTATGATATGCCACCTTTGGAAACGATCCCATTCCTGCGACCTTTACAAGCACCAGCGGACGCCGAGATTGAGGCTGCGGAGAAGAGCTGGAGCGAGTGGCTCGCGATGGAGGACTGGATGGTAGGGCCTCGAGCTCCAGATATTTTGCATGGTTCCTCAACACACTCGCGGGAGAGAAGCGTGGGAAGTGCGAGGTCCCAATAATGCTTTTCATTTGTCAAATACATTTTTATGTTTCCTATTTCCTCCATCTAACGCTCTTTGGTTTCTTCCATGGGCGTTTACTGGCGCTTCACTTTGTTCGTCACACTTTGGATACCCCTTTTAGAGGAGTTTTATCCCCCTCCTGTTTGAGATGTATATCAATGATGAAGCTATCCTAATATTTGACATATTTTTACTACAACATATAAAATGCCAAGAACATGGATGGGGAAACACCCACTACGCTTGAGTTATTCTGTCCATCACGTTTTCAAGAAAGTTTTTCCATTCGTCTCAAATGGCTGGATGCACTGTTGACCTGGCGCATTCCGGCATATACCCCTATACATTATCCGAGGAAGCCCTCCATGTTCCCTGCAGATAACCCAAAAAATGAAATGAAGATAGGGAGGGGATGATGTGGATATAAAGTGTGCAGCGTAGAGACAGAGAGGGTGTTAGGGGTGGCAAACGCTTGACATGTAAACCAAATATACAGGACATTTTTATCTGATTGATGCCATGTGAGGTAGGCTCTAAGAAAAGGTGGTAACTATGATGCATCTTTTCTGATTAATTGCTGCGCTGTAACCCAAGTTCCAAGAGTGATATGTGCATATGATGTTACTTGTATGATTACTATATAGTATTATGAAATGTTGGGGGTTGTATGGTATAAATTATGTGAAGTTTTGTGCAGCATCGAAGTAAGTACACCTAGGTAGGGTAGGTGGTTTAAGTATTTTGAAGATCGAAGTGACTGCGCCGAAGCCCTGGCTGTCGAATCGTGAGCCAATTGTCTTCGTCCGTAATTCATACCTAATTCGCTCTACAGGATCACTAGATTTTATTTATTATTATTATTATTACTTTTTATTATATTATATTATATTTTTTTGAACAAGAAGCCGTAAATAACTACCAGCCGTCAGGAGCTGGCCGCCTCGGCAGTGGGTAGTTAGCCTTGGAATGTACCCATTCGTTTCAATAGCAGTGCATTTTTTGTAAGTACGAATTCTATTAAAACAAGATGAAACTCACCCTTCAATCTGAAGAAAGCAAGTTACAGCTAGAACATGCTCACCCACTACCACTTTCTCTCCTCAGATTTAATTTAGTTGATCTTTTTTTCAATAGAATAATATGAGATGGCAATTTTGGTGCCGCGCGGGTGGGTATAACTATATACCCGGCTAACACCGAAGTAGAGAGCCGCAGCCAATTCCTTTGTGCGGGGGAACTATATCGAAGGGGGGGGTCGAAGGCATAGAAAACTCGGCTCAAAACAACAGCTCGCCCAGCTCGGCCACGCAGAAATGAGAACCTGCTGACGTTATTTTTATTTTTATTCTTGTGGGGGCGCTTCGGGCCGTGGACGGGGAAGAAAGATAAAGAATCGGAGAGGCAGTTCGTTCTGTTCCCAGTCCGTTCATGGGAGGAATGTCGAAGTACCCTGTAGGCAAAAGCAGTGGGGGTTCTTGTTTGAAACACAGACAGGCAGTGGGAAAAAGAAATTTCCATTTCCTTTGGACATAAGTAGGGGGGGTTAACACAAGGCCCAAAGGCGGAGAGGAAACATGGCCTGATGATCCGTCTCCTTCCCGCCTCCTCGGTCTTTTGTCCTGCGGGGGTACTTCCTGCTCCTTTCAATTCCCCTCAGCTACTGGAGAGGTTCCAAGACCGGAGGAGAGAGAGCGATTATTCGCATTTTGAGCTCACATTTCGGTCTCAGGTTCCGCTGGTGTTTGCAGCTTGCCCGCATATCGAGGGAACGAGGAGTGCAAAATAGGAAAAGGAATCCACGTGTCAGGAATATCGGTTGGAGGACCAGGTAAAGAAAGGTTGTTCTTTTCGCGGAATCCCCGTTATTGTGCACGCTTCCGCACTTTAAGGTTAACACTACTCGGCAGATCTCCACTTAGCGCTCTGGAAGGATCCGAGATGCGCTACGGGAGATTAGCGTGGATTTGAGGAATCATGGAAGAAGGTTTCGGTCCCAGGGAGGATTCTTTGGGTCCTTCATGGCTCGCTTCCGAACCAAATCAGGCGCAGCGCGTTCAGTTCTGTCTGTATGCTCTTTCTTTTTGAATGACAACAACCAAATGAAAGCTTCTTGGTCAACTTTGAAGTGGTCCGAGTTTCGAGGCTTGGAAGCTAGCCATCATGACTGAATACTACTCTGTATAGTGTTAGGCATTAAGTTTGAAACCCCCACCTGGCACCCCTAAGATGCCAAGATATCACTAACTCAAACCCATTTGTACAGCAGCCTATATAGGTTAAAGTGACATTTGGATTAAATGAATACTTTATACTAGTGTTATAATGAGCACACATCACTCACATTGAAAGAGAGCTCTAGACCTGAGGGGACTCTATACCTGGGGGTCTCTATAGGCTGGCGTACCGGGGCTGGGGAGCCAGTCATCTTATGGTCTTTTTGCTCTAGGTGGTAAGAGCCCGGACCCGTAGCTCTGCATCACCATGACAGGTACGGAGGATCCTCTCAAAAGCTTGGATTAGCACTAAGAATTAAAGGTGTAACTTTGTTACAGACATGAAGTATTCTCATTCTCTCTCTTAATCAGAGTTCTAAGAGAGATTAATGGCTGTGATGTCTGAATAACCAGCTACAGCTTAACTAAAGCTAGCCTAATTTCAGGGGCTTGAGAATGGAACGATAACAGTATTAAATTCTTAATGCTAATCAAAACTTTTGAGAGGATCCTCTGTATACAAAATATTAACAATATGATCATGAAAAGCAGCCATATAGATATTAACGTTATGTGGTTAGTACGATCTAGGCGGCCAGGGGGGTATTCAAGCTTAATCCTCCCACTGTAGGGAATAAGAATCAAGAGATTGAGGTGCTTCAAATAATCTTATTTAGGGATACTCTTTTCCCTGTCCGCCGCATGAACCTTGGTAGCAGTGGGGGTGGTTTGTTGATATAAGGTTGATATAGATTGATATCGAGCGCAGGATCTCCCAAACGCCAGGAGAATGGTTGTTAGTTTGTAGTTGAAGGACACTGTATTGCCTCTCTCTGTAAACAAGAGGTGCTAGCCTTTTTTCCCAATCCGATTAGCAGGTGAAATACCAATGTAACAGAATAGGGCTCGGCAATGCAGGCTTCCACTTCAGATGAGTTATTTCAGGGGCCAGTTAGTGATCGACTGTAATGCAACGTAGTATTCCCAAGTGCGATATTAGGAGCTTAAGGACGTCCTGAAGCTGTGAGAGTGGTTTTGGCGACATAGAACTCTATATAAAGAGCTCATTCCTCTCTTCTTTTGACCAATTCGTCTCAACTCATCAAAAGAATCAACAACATAATCCAAATTCCAACGGTACATCAGACATCTTCTTGTTCCTCCTCCTCTCCGAAATTCGAAACTACCTACACAACCCTGTGTTTGGTAGCCTCAAATACATCCCCTTTTAAAGACTCATCCATAGGTAAGAATTCGGGAAATATTCCTTTCGGATAGGAGTTGATGCTCATAGAATATTCCTCTTGTAGAACCAAGCAAAAATGAGAGCCTTCACCTTGTTCTTCACCCTCCCCATCGTGTATGCCGCATCCCTTGGGATGAGGGAAGAGCAGGGCATCTCGACTTCTGATGAACCGCTTTGCCCGCAAGGCAAATGGGCCGAGGAATGTCAAGTACAACAGTCGGCATCATCAACCCTGTTCGAAAGGTCCGTGGAGGTGGAGGCACGCGCCGGTGAAAGCGGATCATGGTGTTACAAGCCCGGGGCGGAGGCATTCTGGGGCGCAGCCAGTGCAGCTTGCTGTAACGAGGTCAACGGCAGTATGAGGAGCAATCGCCGATGCTACGGGCTCAAAGATTCGAGATATAGGTGTAACAACTTCTACGTGTGTTGCAAGAACAAATTCCGCTCGAAGAACAGACCCGGAAGGGACAGATGTTACTAGGCTTGTTGTTCGATGCTTTCGAGATAGATAAACAAGGGGTTGATTTTGTGAGAAACCGTTGTTAGTGTTTTGTGGTTGTTGAACCTATGGTTATACTTTTGGTCTTTCACTTTTGTTTCTTGTTTTCACTTGCTGTTGTTCATATCTCTTTCTCACCTGTGTTTTCAGAGATCAGTCATTCGCTAGTTATCATTTAACAGCAAAACAAGGGACCTTTACCTTCTTCTTATTCCCTTGTCGAAGCCTATTTACCCGTGAATGCATGGCTCATGTCCTTGGAATGTGGCCCGAGTCATTGGCAATACCATGACTCCTTCTGCCAGCAGTAAGCTGGCGGTTTTTGTTGTTCACTCAGCTGACCAGACGGTCTATGTTGCTGGATGCCCATGAGCTCTGGCCATGCTTGTGGATTGTATAGCGTAGCATCTGACCTGAGGTCAATCATGCTTTCGAGAATAACGAAATAGTGGCACGAGCTAGATACAGAGTAGTATGCCTCCTGAGCATAACTTCCACACACGAAGGGGCGCATGTGGCAACCGCAATGGAAATTCCCTCTGGGGGGAAGTAGTAACGCGCAATTCGAGGACTCTAAAAATATGGAAACATGATGCCGCTGCAGAGGCCGCACCCTCATAAAAAACCCTGTCGACGCCCACGGCAGCAGCAGTGCGAGTGACAAAGCATCATCCAGAGTCGATTCCGGCTTACGGCTTCCGCATCAAGGGGTTGGAAATGTGGGTTTGTCATAGGGGATGCTAATATGGTGATCATAGCGATGGGCTGGGTGGGGTCGAGTGACCTAAACCATCCGGATATGATCACAGATAAATCATATTGAAAATAGATGGAGAAACGAAGCCATTAAAGAGATGGTACCTGCGAAGAAGAGGCGGCATGCCAGGCCCTTTCAAGGCGGTTGGATATTCCCAGACTAGAGATGCGCGACGGCGGCCAATGAAATTATGGCAACATGTCACTTAAATAAGCCGGTTCACAGACCGATATTAATTGTAGCCCTCGCAATCGCCCATGATTCATTTAGCCGCCACTTCAGTCACAAGAGCAGTTGCGAAGTGAGCTAATGGTGGAAAATGTGCTAGGTTGTTGCAAAGGAAAAGGGGTAAAAAAATGACGATAGGTCTCGCGATTTGCAAACAGTGCAAACATCAAACAATTCAGAAACCGGGTTACATAAGCCGCAACCTCAATTCTGAGGTTTAGAGAGCTTCACCATTCATGAAACCGCGACTTCCGCGCGGCACTTTAGTCTGATGTCCCTAAATGAGCTGCCTTTAATGAGCTTTTCATCTTTCATGTTGCCAATGTGTGTGTTTCTACGGTGGGAATGTAAACCAACCTTTTGTTGAAAGAGCCCATCAGCTAAGGTATAAGGGTGATGGAGGAGATAAAGATTGTTGGGAGCTCTTCGGCGCAATGGAAAACATTGCTCCGTCGATGCCTTTCTCAGAGGACCGATGCTTCTGAATTTAGGGCTTTTGCGAAGCTTATGCTGAATCGCTATTCCATCCCGGCGAGAAGGCTGATAGACATTATTTTGGCCTTAAGATGTGTCACAAATGTGCCCTGGGACCCCTTAATACCGCTTTATGTGGACACCCTACATAGGCTTGGGAGTATTAAACTTGAGGATATACTAGAGTCACTTCTTGCGCAGTCGACAGTTTCCCAGAAGCAAGTGGCTGCACAGAATGGATCAACCACGAAAGCACCTGTCAGTACACTGATGACCGACTACTGCATTATCCATAATGCTACGATAGCGGCGACTTCGGGACACGCCCCCAAAACGACATCTGACGCCGCAAACACATTTTCTGCGCTCGCAAAATGGATTTTAGCTCTTCTTTCATGGAACTCAAGTCGCGAACCGGTAGGCGACCCCGCCGCCTCGTTGACGAACTCTCCGGACACCCTGGCTGTGTTTGAATCTCTCGGAATTTTATTTGCTGCTCTTATGAGCACTGAAAAAGCCGTAAATGCTCTCTCTGCCTCAGGGCCAAAAGGTACTCTTTCTATTCTTCTCACAGTAGACCCTCGTTTACATTGTACTTAAATACTGATTGCCTGTTATCGATCAGGTTGGAGAAATAAACTAGGCCAATCCCTCTCTGAATATATACCGCTATGTGGTGGTGTATCAATTCCTTTACGTGACAGGCTTGAAACTTTGCGAAAAGATTTCAATTTGTATGGCCACGACGGCGAGAAATCCCTTGAAGATGCAATGATGGAAAATGTCAATATTTCAGCTCTAGAATTTGAGTCTAATGTCCTTGATGGCTCTATCATCAATTCCAGAGCAGGACCATATATATATGTTAATGCCTTGGTATGCCTGTTGCCCTCTCAACTGTTACAGTAGTCTACATACTAATAGTATCATCTTAAAGCTTTTTGGGAGACCGCTGGTGGATGATAGTATGGTTGTTAACTACTTAAATAATCGATATGGAGTGAGTTTTTGAAGTCCATACTACTAAATTACTCTTGAAAACTCATAATATTTTTCTAGGGCGATCGCATGACACTAATCGAAGATCTTATTACTGCAGCCTTTGACGTGTTATCGAATGGGATGTACCGCAACGAGCCTAATCGCACCATGTTTATCTTCCGGTCTTTCTTAGTCAACAAGCTGCCGCCATTTTTTGCTGAAATGTGTGCATCTGCTATTAACCCCATACCGATGGAGCTTTGCATCACCCGCGCCCTCAGTCGCATTGACCCCAATGCCTTTCCTTCGTTTTCAGAAATGTTCGCAATGCAAGGAAATTCTATCCTGTCAGATGTCCGGCAGGAATTTTTGTTTGCCTGTGCTTTGCATAAATTGATCCCGGAAGCAAGCATTGAACGACTTCTAGGGGAAAACCCAATGCAGACCTTGCCTGT